CTCCTCTTAATATAATAGTTTGAATCAGCGAAGTAAACAGTGGAAGAAATACACAGTATTCGTTAAACAGCTGTATGTTCGCTCATGAATATAATTTGAGCTTTGAGTGTCTGATACCGCTTATTGGTCACATGATCAAAATAAAAAGTGGACAATAACATATTTTGTCACGTGGTACGCTAGCCTAACCATCCCCCTTCTATTAACTGTGACCTGAGGTAATGTATTGAATCAATATTTGAGGAACACTTCAGTTGGAACGACAGTAAGAGGATTTAGCTTTAAATATATTTCATTTATTAATGTAGCATATTATTCATCACGCAGAATGTTGTGTATAAATATATTCCTATTATCTTATAGCAACCCAGTGTGGATTGTCTGCATATATTAACTGAGTTACCAGCAGTTACAAGGTATGATGGTCAGACTGTAAAAATATACCTCTGAGATATGTCCATTGTTACCACAATATGAAATAATCCTACTGGCCTTCATGTATTCACCATTTCACCTGGTTGTGTCACCACCACATTTCAGGATTTTTGATAGTGCACCAGTCAGTGGAATGCCCCCGCACCCCCCACCCCCCCCCCACCTGGGGAATAGCGGGGAATTATTGAGAGATTGCACCTTATATTCGACCATGCTACACAGGGATTTAGACTGTATTAGTTATATTATCAGGTACCAGGGACTTTGGCAGTACTTATATCGGGGATTAGACATAGCCGCCATCTTGAAAACGAAAAAGGACTGGGAATGAGCAATGAAAGCGAGCTGATAATTTTGCGAACGAACTGACAATCTCTTGTGTTATTAGGTCACCGTTTTATTTTCTTGAAAGTTATTGTAAACCATTTAGATGATCTATTTTTTTAAGCATTCAGTATGGACCATAGATATGACAAGTTTAAATTTTAAGTAAAAAGGGAAAGGCCCAGCTTTTAGGGGCCCCGAACAATGAGCAAAACTAAATCGAACTGAAAAGAATCCAGTTTAATAGATGTGCGAAATTAAGTACGAATAAGGTAGTATTTATCAAATAGGTCTATTTCCTTTAGACGGATATTCTTTGTAGATATTGTATGGTGGGCCCGGAGAGCAGGGACATTATTTGTGTTTAGGCATGTGGGAGTGGCCCATATAGCGGAGAGTGAAATAGAGCTAGGTCTTGGTCTAATGTCCCGCTGTTCCCCGGGTAGGGGTATTCCACTGACTGGTGCATAATGCTCACAATTTCTTTCTTATATAGTTTTGAAGTTCTGAGTGTGTACTATCTTAGTCTTTACAAATGAATGGTGCCATCTGAAGCTGACATATTAAACAAAAATGTCGACAAATATAGATTTTGTCTCCCATCAGCAGATTGTTCAGTTGTTCTACAATAGAGGTAGCCTTGAAGGTGCCATTAAAACAATAATTGGGAAAAAAACTTAGTATTTCTATATATGAAATTGTTATTAAATTCTATGTGTCCAATGATTCATTCAAGTATTATTATTGTTTATACATACATATGGTATTATAACTATTATTGTTCAGTATTGAGTGGCAAGCTAGCCATGGTAACTGGTCATGGTATGCTAATAGACCTGCAATGCAAATCATTAAAAACCATAGCATGACCTAGCTGTTACTATGGCTAGCTTCACCAGTGCTGACAGTAATTATAATTATACATACAAAAACAAGAAGTTACAAGCATTGAAGGAATTCATATAAATTTGGCATGCCAAGAAAGTAGAATTAGAATATTTAGCTGACCTTTGACTTTGTGCAAGGTGTTTGGTATTCAAATGGCACTTTCCCTACCTCCTGAACAGGCATCTTAGGCTAAGGGGCTGTTTACGTGATGGAATGTGGGATGATTTTGATGTATTGAAATACGTCCATAGGCTAAACGAAAGTCCAAATGCTGGTTAACAAAACTCAAATGTTGTAGAGCAGATCTTGTAGTTCAAGAAGATTATTATTGCTGCTTGAACAACCTTTCAGTTTACAGATAACTATTGCTATCTCTCGAAAATAATGAAGTTTTTTGCTGAAGTGTACATCGTGACTTATTTAAATACATCTAAATCATCCCGCCTCATATATCATCCTGGCAAAGCGGGATCATAAAACAGCCCCTTATTCAGCAAATTGTGCATGCTGCCTTTGACCCCTTGGGGGTGAGGCAGCACTTTCCTTGCGATAGTAACTACTAGTTGTAAGTATAAACTTGTCTGGGTTCTGTATATTAAATAAATTAAGATGCTACAAAATAATATACAGGGATATCGACAAAACTAATGTTTTGATACTGTGGGCCTGTTTATATGATCCCGCCTAGACGGGACGGGGCGTTTTCATCCCGCCTAGACGGGAAACTCGCCTAGTGTTTATATGGACAAAAACATTGCCGGGATGAAGCCATTTAAGTGCTTGACGTCATATTTTTGTTGCAATAAAGGCATTTACGCATCCTTAAAAGGGAAAAATTCATCCCGCCTAGCCATGTATCAGGTTGAGCATATTGTTCCTCATTGCTGTAGGTATGACTAACTGGTGGTCTTTGAAGATCAGACCTTCTGCTTCACTCAGTTCATGGCGAATGTTCCAGTAGGTAGCTAAGTTTTGCGGGATTTCATGCTTACGATCAGGCCAACCTTGAACCATCTGCTGTTTAAGTTGTTGTAGCGTTTCATCATTCGCTGTTTCTTCCTTAAGCTCTGCCATTTTCTCAGGAGATGCTGGTATTGCTGTAACCATGCTGTGCACCATTACTTCAATGTCCTCATTAAGTTCCTGTTGTTCTCCTTCTTCTGGTAAGTACGCTCTTGACAAAGTGTCGGCGATAAACAGGAATTTCCCGGGAACATATTTCACTGTTGGGTGATACTTCTGTAGTCGGATGAGAAGACGCTGAATTCGCGGTGGTGCTTGTGATAATGGTTTAGCTATGATGGCTTCCAACGGCTTGTGGTCGCTGTGTACTGTGACTTGTGTCCCATAAATGAATTGGTTGAAACGTTCACATGCGAAAACGATTGCGAGCAGCTCTATCTGAGCATAGTGCTGCTCAGCATTGGTGAGTGATCGGGATGCATAAATTACTGGGTGTCCTTCCTGAATTAAACATGCACCCAGTCCACCTTGTGACGCATCAACTTGGAGGATAACAGGCTTATCGATGTCGTAGAAGTGCAAAACTGGGCTGCTTGTGAGGACTTTCTTGATTCTTTCGAGTGCTTTCTGGTGTTCGTTGTGCCAGGACCATTGTATGTCTTTTTTGAGAAGGGTACGCAGTGGCGCAGTGATCTCAGACATGTTTGGTATGTACTGTGAAAGATAGTTCACCATTCCTAATAGGCGTTGTAAATCTTGCTTGCTCTTTGGTAGAGGCATTTCGACAATGGCTTTAATCTTCTCAGGATCAGGAGTCAATCCTTTAGCACTAACGATGTTGCCAAGATATTTCACTTCAGTGACTCGTAGTTGGATCTTTGTTGAATTTTATGTTTCGTTCTCTTGCTCGATGTAGGACTTTCTCTAGAGCTATGTCATGCTCCTCTGTGTTGGCACCTGAGACTATGATGTCATCATGTACTGCTAGTGCACCAGGGATGTCAGAAAATTCATCATCTACCATTTTCTGCGCTACATCCGATGCAGAATATATGCCAAAAGGCATGCGATTGAACTTGTATCGACCGAATGGTGTGTTGAATGCACACAGATAGGATGACTCTTCATCAAGTTTTTTATGCCAGTAGCAGTTGGACATGTCAATTACGGTGAATACTTTCTTTCCACTCAGGTGATTTGAGATGGATTCAGCGCGCCTCGCGCGAACAAATTTGCCTGCTGAAAAAGCGGCGTCTTTAAGGAGGCTCCCTACAGTTCCGTGCGGGATGTTCGCGGGACAAGTACGTGAACTATCCCACGCAACTGCATGATCAAAACAAAACAAAAATTGACCATGCTTTTTTTAAAAATAGAGCTATTTCTGAAAGGTTTCTAATGGAAAAAAGCGTTGAATAATACTTCGTTTTGAGCGCCAAATCACTTGCAAGTCTACACAGCAATTCTACATATGATACGAATATCACTAGACCAAAAAATAGCTACGAAACAATATTTTTTAATTTTTTTATACACTGTCAACTGACTCAAACATTTGCAAAATTGCATACAAACGTTTAAAAAGTTGTTTACTTCTCAAGAAAACGTTCACGTTTTTACTCTTTAGTCGTGTTTCTACAAGATTAAAGTGATTATATGTAAACAGAAAAATATTTCAGTTTCATAGCCTAATTGTTCATTTTTAGCAAAAAGTACAAAACCAAACATGAAACAAAAAAACACGTCCACCTGTTAATAGGCTGTTACAGCTCACAGATTGAGTAAACGGCAGGATTGAATTAGCTTCAACCTTGTTTTCATCGATTTAATCCTTCACAATTATCCTTGGCTGTCCATAGCACTCAAATAAATCGAAAAGTTGACAAAAACAAAACAGTAAAAACAACATTGCGGCTCAATTTTGCTGAATGAAAACTCGTTCTGCGCCCGCGTACAATCTTTTACTAGTCAGCGACGCTTTTCAATAGGGGAATTTCTCAAGTTACACGAGGCTATTTTCTATCTTTATTTGCATTTTAATCATTAGTTTCATCGGTGACCTATCTTCAAATTTTGACCACGAATTTATTTTGCGGTAAATTTTATAAATTTCAAATTTTAAAAAAATCTGTAGTGCGCAATAAATTTTTCGCCTTAAAAAAAATCACACACTACAGAATTTTTTTAAACTTTCACCACAGTTGCAGAGCATCATTCCTTATTGATATATGAAATAAAAAAGATAGGTCACCGACATCGTTTTTGAGATAGCGGCACATTTATGGGTTAAATTGGAAGCCTTTATGCTGTCGTCATGTTGCCATGGGAACATTGACATCGTCGAAATCTAGTTCGAAATATTCCTTAGGTGACCAATATTGCCACCAAGTCGAAAAGAATTCGCGTTCTGCACGAATAAGCCTGTTTTACGGAATTATTGCTTAAACAAGAATAACTTAGGGAGCCACCTTAAGAGATTGTTATAATTAATGACGTAATTATTACGTGGACACCACGCGTGTGTCACGCAATTCTGCGAGCACATGGAATATTAATGGCTTGTGTGGAAGTTCCGAGTAGAGCGAGTTAAGAAGTGATATATAATTTTTAAAAGTTTATTTTTGATTTAAAAACGAGTTGAGTTCAATTATTCGAGTATAGTTCAATTTATTACATGGTCCTTCGAGCCGGATATGTCTACTGAAAAGAGTAAAAGAGCAATTCGACGAGGAAATCGAGCTTTCGTAACGAAAGTTATTCAGACGGCAAATGACGCCATTGACAAGTTTGGTGGAACTCAGGCGGAGAAAGATGCGTTAGAGGGTTGTAAAATCACGTTAATCGATAAGAAAGAATCCATAAGAAAGCTTGATGAAGCTATTCTGAATGAAATTGAAGATGAAGAGAAGATTATGAAAGATATATTTCAGGCTGGCGAAGTGGGTGAGTCGATCAATAAAATGCTTGTTAAAATTGACAATGTTTTGAAGACAGTTGAAGCGAGCAATGTGTCCTCGCCAAGGGGACTGGGTACAACCATGCCTAGCGTAAGTTAGCCAATGAACCCCTCATCAGCCAGAGCAAAATTACCAAAACTGTCCTTGAAGAAATTTGCTGGAAATCCTACTGATTGGCAATCATTTAACGATAGCTATAAAGCTGCTGTTCATGATCACACTAATGACAGTTTATCTAAAGTTGACAAATTCAACTACTTGAAAAGTCTGGTGGAGGGTCCGGCAGCTGCAGCAATTGCAGGGTTTTCGTTAACTGATGAAAACTATAAGACTGCTTTTAAACTTTTGGAAGAGAGATTTGCAAATCCACAAATTATAGTTTCCAGTCATGTTGAAGCCCTATTGAAGTTGGAACCTGTTTCTAATATACATGAAATTGTCAAGATTCGAAAGCTGTATGACAGTATTGAAACGCATATTCGTAGTCTAGCGAATTTGAACATAGAAAGTGAAACATATGGGACTCTTCTGATTCCAATGATTCTTGCTAAACTTCCAGAGGAAATGCAGTTGTTGATAAGTCGGAAGGTTGGCAAGGATAATTGGAAATTAGATGAGCTACTTAAGGAATTTAGAATTGAGTTAGAGGCTCGAGAAAGGTGCTTGTTGTTACAAAGCACTACAGAGAAAAAGGACGGCACCAGGAGAAAATATGAGCCTAGTACATCATCAGCACTTTTCACGGGAAGTGACAATCGTTCAATTCAGAAATGTACGTACTGTGGGGAACAACATTTATCATCACGGTGTAATATAATTACAGATATTTCAGCACGTAGAGCTATTCTCCGAAAAAAGGGACGGTGTTTTGCATGTTTGAAGTCTGGTCATGTAGTCAGACATTGTCCTTCCAAGTTTAAATGCCCGAAGTGTGGAAATAATCATCACATTTCTCTTTGTGAAGGTATAAAACCAAGGGAGGACCCTACCAAACCCAACCAGAATCAAAATCAACAACCACCCTTTCAGTCCAAGGGAAATGAAGCATCAACTAATGTTTGTGCAAACAGCAATGTCTCGGTGCTTTTGCAAACTGCAAAGGCTATGGTGGGAAACCCTAATATCCCCCAACAGCAGAAATTGCAATCGAGAATTGTTTTCGATTCCTGCAGTCAGAGATCTTATATATCAAATCGGCTGAAGAATTCATTGGGTGTCCAACCTGTTAATAAGCAATCCCTTTTGGTTAAAACTTTTGGCAATGACTCCCCAAAATTGATGTTGTGTGATCTAGTCCAAGTCTCTATTACAGCCACTGATGGCTTGGAATTGTATGTCAATGCCTTTAGTGTCCCTGTAATATGTAGTCCGATTTCGAACCAAGCAGTAGAAGTAGCAGTGGAGAAATACCCGCATTTAAATGGATTAGACTTAGCAGATAACAGTAGTCCTTCTATTGAAGTCGACATTGACATTCTAATTGGAGCTGACTTCTATTGGAACTTTGTGTCTAATGAGTCAAAAAGAGGTGAAGGACGTGGACCTGTTGCCCTGTCAACTAGGCTAGGGTGGGTTTTGTCTGGCCCCATTGATAACCTTAGTGAAGAATCTAGTTCCACAACCAACTTCGCTGCAACTCATGTATTACGGATTGATGCTACCCCAGTTCAGGATAACCAAAACCCGAACATGACTGAGCAACTTAAAAAATTTTGGGAATTAGAGTCTATAGGCATTCGGGATGACGAAAGTTCAGTCTATGACAAGTTTGTTGAAGACGTTAGATTTAATGGGGAGAGGTATGAAGCAAAATTACCCTTTAAAGAGCACCATCCCACCCTCCCTGATAACCATGCTGTTAGTGTAAAAAGATTAGGAAGATTAGTTCATCGACTCCAAGATCAACCTGCTCTTCTTACTGAATATGATAAGATAATTCAAGACCAAGTCCGGAAGGGAATTGTAGAACCTGTTGACCCACAAGTTATCCCAAAGGCTGGAAATGTACACTACCTACCCCACAGAGAAGTTGTGAGAGCTGACAAAGACACTACGAAAGTTAGAGTGGTTTACGACGCGTCAGCTAAGACAACAAGACCTAGTTTAAATGAATGTTTGTATACTGGACCTTCTCTAACCCCACTGATTTTCGACATCTTGCTGCGTTTCCGTGTCCACTCGGTTGCCATGACAGCTGATATAGAGAAAGCCTTTTTGAACGTTGCAGTCGCGGAGGAACATCGTGACTTTCTTAGATTTTTATGGTTAAATGACCCCTACAGCAGCAGCCCAAGCGTTATACACCTCAGATTCGCCAGAGTTGTGTTTGGAGTTACGTCAAGTCCGTTCATTTTAAACGCTACCATTCGTCATCATGTTAATCAATATCTGCTGAATGATCCAGAGTTTGTCTAGGAGCTTTTGCGATCCCTCTACGTCGATGACTATGCATCTGGTTGCGAGAGTATACCTAGAGCGTTAGACCTAGCAAGAAAGATTAAATATCGACTTTCGACAGGAGGTTTCAACATGCGTAAATGGCAGACTAATTCACCAGAACTTAAGCAAGTGTTCCAAGTAGATCCCGATTTCGCTGAAGATATTCCTAGCCCTACTGCAGATCCTTTACCAACTATGAACGAAGAAGGTTGTGGTTACACAAAATCAGCTCTTGGTGGCCAGAATGATGTGAACAGTAAAGTCCGTGGTCAAACGTGGAATGTCCTGAATGACGAGTTTGAAATTAATTTAGCCAATGTTGTAGCTGGTTATGATCCAAAGAGTTGTATAAAGCGAATTGTGTTGAGCATTACAGCAAAGTTTTATGACCCCCTGGGGCTGATATCACCTGTTATTCTTCAATTAAAGCTGTTGTTCCAAGAATTGTGCAAGAGTAACGTTGAGTGGGATGAACAATTGAGCGGACAGTTTTGTAAAGTATGGGAAACAATATTCTCCAAACTTGAGGAACGCCAAAGTGATTTCTATTCCACGCTGTTACTTTCAAGAAACACGAACAGGGTTAATCGAGTTGCATGCATTTTCCGATGCAAGCGAGTCGTCGTATGGTGCTTGCGTGTATATCTTATACGAGCATGAAGCAGGAGTTAAATGCAATTTAGTCGCCTCTAAAACAAGAGTAGCACCCATGAGTGAACAGTCGATACCACGTCTTGAATTGCTTGGATGTTTAATTAATCTCGGCACGATTAGTTGATAACATTCGTAAGGCATTACAAGACGTCTTAAAGATCCATGCTATTTTCTTCTGGTCCGATTCAACGGTTGCACTAAGCTGGATAAGGAGTGTGTGTAAAGAGTACAAACAGTTTGTAGAAAATAGAGTTCAGGAAATTCGAAGATTGACAGATCCAAAGGATTGGAGATATTGCCCAACAAAAGACAATCCAGCAGATATTGCCTCAAGGGGAGAATCAGTATCGAAGCTCGCGGCGGATGATAATTGGTGGTATGGTCCTACCTTTTTACTAAATCCCAAGGATTCGTGGCCTGTACAGCCGTCGCACGGGGAAGAAAGCAAGAATACGTGGCAAGAGTTGAAGACATCCAAACAGACTGTGATGGCGGCGGTCGTTCATACTGATGTACAACCAGAGCACAGTATAGAGAACTTGCTAAAGCCTTCGAAGTATAGTAAGTTAGAAACTTTACTTCGTGTAACAGCCTATGTGCAGAGATTCGTTGACAATGTAAAACGAAGTTTGAAAGGTTAGGAAATTTTGAAGGGTCTTCTAACTGCTGAAGAACTAGAGGTGGCCGAGAAATCCTGGATTAAGCATGTGCAAGCTTCCTTAACAAAGCTGCCAAAATACAATAAAATGAAACGATCTTTAAGCTTATTTGTGGACGATGAGCAACTTATCCGTTGTCATGGTCGAATCGAAAAGTCAAATCTACCCAACGAAACGAAGTTTCCTATGTTATTACCC